GGGTACACCCTGGACAGGTCGCAAGTCCATCACAGGGCCACTTATAAATTATATATTTTTTCTGGTATAAATCTGCTGTTTTACATGATTGTTGAATGAAATTAACATAATTATTAATTTATTGTAAAAACATGACAGATAATCTGTGAAACAGATCCAGTTCAGCTGCTGTTTATCTGTTAGTTTCTATAGTGGATGTGAGCTGTTGTCCTGTTTGGTCTGTTTCTGCTCCTCCATGCTGTCACAGATGCTAACAGTGGACGGGATGGGCGGTGCTCAATCTAGTGTTCTTATTCAAGTCTATGATAAAAGCTCTTTGCATCACAWTGAACACTGAGCTGCTCTTTGCTGTTTTTCCTGCAGGTGGAGCCATTTGCCAGTCTGGCAGGATCTGTTCGCAGCTCCGTTCCCCGTCTCCTCATCAATAAAAACCTGGTGGGGCCGTTCGCGTGGGGCCCCCGACCTCAGGACGTGGTGCAGCTGGGAGATGTGGTCAGCGGCGTGCAGGCCCTCGTTGATGCCCTTGGCTGGAACCAGGATTTAAACACTCTGATGGCGACTGGTGCTGAGAAAGTGAGCAGGTTTACTAAAAGTTGGTTAGTTCATAAACTGATCTGTACAGCCTAATTTCACAGGATGTATTGATTTGTCTGAAGCTTCATTTTTGAAAAGAAATCCTTTATTTTTCACAAGTCTTGAGAAAGGTTTGGTTTTTTTCTTTCTTTTTACAGTCTACAAGAAAAAGAGAAGAGTGAGTTAGTTCTCTGATGGAGGCTCATTGAACTGCAGCTGACTTCTTTTTAACTGATCGTACAAACAGACAAATGACCTCTTTATTAGATTAGATAATGACTACTGAGGATTTTAAATTTAACATGAATTTCAGGTAAGTGATGCACATCAGGTTGCCTTTTCGTTAAATGGCTGTTAATCAGAAACAAAACACCCTGATGGTGGACTCATGGTTCAGAAACAAAGCAGTGGAAACATCAATATACATAATCCTGTGATAATAAGAATAAAGGAAATTAGTTTTTTTATTGTAGCAGTTTAATCCCTTTGAGAACAATGTCTTATTCAGAACATTTCAACCAGTGATTCAGCCTCAAGTCATTTAGAATGTCTTTTTTTCCATTTATATCAAAAAGTGTCATAACTTTAACTTTAAATTAAAAGAAAACACAGGTAAAGGTGACTGCTCAACCAACAAATCCAAAACAACAAAATGGCAATATCTTCTTGTGGAACATTAGAAAATTATAAATGGTTCGGTTTTGTCTGAAAACTCCCAGCGTTAAATAAAAAAAATTGACACGTTACACTCCAGTCACTTTAGTGATTCACTTTTTGCTAATAACGTCATGCATACCACAAATAAGAAAATTGCATTAAAATCAGCACCAGTGTACAAACTGAACCTATCTTATTTTACTCCTAATCCCATGACTGGTATGAAAAAAACACAGAGGMCCCCTGTCTCTACACCAGATTTTTCCCCCATTTATTAAAAAAGGTCTCTGAGTCAAAAACACAGAAATACCCATACCACACCACCAGGTAGCCAGAATATCCACATTTAACAGCAAATAAAAACAGAGACGAAGAACTTTCCTCGCTTTTTGAAAAAAATTTCCCAAAATATTTTCAGCTTATTTAATATTTACAAATTTTTCTTTGTTAATCAGTTCAGCACATAAACCAAAAGTTGACAAGATTTAGTTAAAATGAGACAAATGTAGAAAAAACAGTAAAAGTGGCTCCACTGTTGTTTTAGTTTCTAAGACACAAAGTGATAATGGGTACACGCCAAACAAAGCTGCTAAAGCTTGTTTGGCATGTACCAAGTTATATTTGGCAATAAATCTTATACCATTAGAATTAAAGCCTGTTAATTTCCATTTTAAATGGTTACACATGTGTAAGGAACATGCATGTGTGGGATGAGCAGTAGAGTTGAGGGTTGGACACTTTGTCAACTCTTCTGTGCCAAACAGCTTATTCTGCTGTCGTTGCTACTGACTCTTGTTTTGAGCTCTGGTACCCCAAGGTGCTGCCAGCCAGGTGCCTGCTATAAGATTTATTGCCAAGAACCATTGGGCGTCATGCAAGAACATGCTCGTGTCCTTATCCTAAATTTCTCTTACTTTTGTTCGTACGAAGGGTTCGTACGAACATGCCACGTCAGCTTCAACAAACTCTTCTATCTTCAGGAAAAATGTGTAAATGAGCTGCGTAAACTGATGAATGTGTATCAGCTGCTCGTGCATGGGGATAGGTGATTTACTAATTACCACCCCAAAAACACCATACAAGGATATTTGTTTCCTGCCACACATACCAGGAAGTGTTCATTCACAAGTGACATCGCAAAGTAAAAAAGAAGGACTAGTTCAGAGATTGAAGTCCTGCGCTCGGAGATCCACAGAAAAAAAGAGTCATTTTTAGCAGCGTCAGCTGTGGAATTAAAGGATCTGTTTTAAAGCCGAGGAATGAAATAACTACTGCTGTTAATGTTGTGTCTCCTGTGGGTCGTACAGTCACAGAAATAAAATCGAAATCATATTTATCTCTCTGTAGTTCTGCTCCGGTTTTTCTTTGGTCAAATATTTTTAATTTCAGTGTAAACAACTGTGTTACATGTTTCACTTCAGGGGAGCAGTCCCCCCCCCCCCCCCCCCCCGGGGTCAAGTGTCGGATGCGTTTCTGAAAAACAGCATTTTAAAATGTCTCAAAACTTCAATTAACTTCATATGAATATTGTAGTGCTATACAACAGCATTAATAGCCAATTTAATTTAATTTAACCAATTTATGTCATTAGTCTGCATTATTACATTTAAAATTATAACTCTAATTCAAACAGAAAAACCTCTTGTCAACATAATTATAAAGTGTGATTTATTTTCAACTCAAAATATCTTCAAACTAATGAAATATAAAGTTATTAATGAAGCAAATCCATCTGGATAACAGCAGACTGACTGCTTGTAAAATATACAACAGGTCTGAACCACTCGTGAATTTTGTTCAAATCTGAAAAAAATCTTAGAATACGAAAAAAATGGTGAATGCCACAAATTCTCCTAAATCACTCATACGCACAACTTAAGAACAAATCTGTGCGTACGAACGATTCTTGCATGAGGCCCAATGTTACAACAAAGAATAATCTAACAAACAAACTGAGTTAGTTTTTGTGCCAAGTGTCTTGTACAGTAAACACAATTTTTAAAGTACTAAAAAAGAATGAAAACCCTAAAGACGTTTCTCTTTCCATCCAGGAAGATTTTCACAAAAAATAAAAAAATATCTGTTGAGTGTGTGTGATTTGACCCTGTCACATTAAGCTTGGTTTCCTGTCAGTTTCACTCTCATTCACACCTTCATACATGTAACTGAAACATCGTGAGTCTGAGGCTCATGAGCATCCCTTCTGAGGAGCGAGGGATTCCAGTTAACCTGCAAGTCAAGGCCTCTCATGTGAGGTGAAGGACGATTTTGGAGGTTAAACTCCATTATTCCATTTACTTTGTGTACTAGTACCACAGCATGAGGATTACCTTGTTTGCCAGTTGGTGCAGCAGATTTGAGAGACTCATCTTTACTCCTCTAAACACTCACTGCAGTCAAACACCTTTAACTTGTCTTGACTGACCAGATAACGTTTCTCCAGAAGACATTTGGCTCGTCTGTGGAGGTAGCTGCAGATTTTCATTGAACTTTAACATGAAACCTTTGAATCAGTGGCTTCTGTTTTAGTTGGCACCCCCTCAGCCCATGATGATTGGCTTCAGTGTGGACAGTAACACTGATGTTCTGTCTGATTTCAGTTCAGGACAGGATGAGCCTTGATAGTTCCTGGGTAGTTCCTGAACATCCTAATCAATTTATACTCCGTATATAGCAAGCATGTCCAACTCCGGTCTTCAAGGGCCGGTCTCCTGCAAGTTTTAGATTTGTCCCTGCTTCAACACAGCTGATTCAAATAGATGATTTACTTTGTCAGTTTTAGGTCTGCAGAGGCCCACTAATTAAGCACTCTTTAGGTTCAGCTGTGTTGAACCATGGCAGCACCTAAAACATGCAGGACACCGGCCCTTGAGGACCGACTCTGGACACCACTGCATTTCCATTGACCAAGAAAATGTGCAAATTAGAATTTCGAAAATAAATTTGCTCAATGGAAACATGTCAATTTCGGAAAAAAAATACATTTTTCGACAAAATGTTTTTGCGCTAGGAAAAAGTGGTTTTTCGACCGTATCGAAATTGATGTATTTTGCAAAACTACAATGGAAACACTTTTTTCACATCACGGGAGTCACATGATCAAGAACCAGCTGTTTCTACTGGCAAAAATGATGACGAAGAAGATAACAGGAAGTAAAAATAGTAGTGAAATCACCAAAGTAGTAAAAGTATTAAACTCACCGACTACATTTTCCCAAAAACGCAGCATATGTAGCCGCTCCCAGGTATAAGGGGCTTGTCACTCGAAAGCCTCGATCAGACGCCGGCATCTCCTCTGATGGCTGATGATGAGCTCTAGTGTCGTGGTAGCAATGTGCTATGTGTTTACATCCATTGCCGCCATGTTTGCAATGAATTATCGCGAGAACAAATGTATTCACTTATGATTTTAAAAGCATTTCTTACTTAATGGAAACACCGCAATTGTGAAACTGTTTTTCGACATTAAMAGAATATCGACAAAGTTTTGCGCACATTTTCAATGGAAACGCAACTAGTGTTATACAGCATCTTCACTGAATTTCCCATTGTTCTGAGTATCTGTCAGTTCAACAAGTGCTGTCAAACAAACTAATGCTGGTTAATGAAAGCTACCAGCTGTAGTCCATCGTCATCACTAATAAGATTAATGGCTCTAGGCCTTGTAAAGTTAAAATACTTTCAGCACCCCTTATTCAAAGATAAAGGACAGTGTATTGTGCCAGTCCTTGTTTCTGTACCATGGCCGTTGCTTACGAAGATGTCAACAGATCATTGTGTGACCCAGAGTTTGGAAAGAACAAGAAGTCCTGGAGGCTCTCCAACGGATTTTAGTTTTCGACACAACTGTCCAAACTTTAGTTTTTGTCCCCCACCTCGTCGAGTTAAACCATAAAGGCCATTGACAACTTATTTGAGCATGAATGTAAAATTATGATGTTGATTAGAAGAAAGTATGGTGTCAGGTTGCTATCAAAAATAAACATAAATGTGAAACCAGAATTGTGTGCTTATTAGTCAATAGTTGTTCATAACTAAAATTTGCAAACTAATTATTTAAAATCTCATACAAAACATGAAAACACAGTTTAAAAAGTTGATTTCAGTAACTTAGACATACAAAGTTCAAGTTCTCTCCAGCATGCTTAGCACACACATACTGTATTTGTGTAGCAACACAAATGTTTTTAGTTGAGAAATTAATGAACACAATTAAACAAATGTTATCATGCATGACACATTCTTTCACGGTAGTATGCTGATTTTGAGAAAGATTTAAATTTTTTAGCCTGACAAACCATAAACATTAGCCCTTGTTTGGCTAGCCTTTAGCATAGCCTTGTGAATTTTTCTCCTAACACTATATTCTGGGACTAAGGTAATACGTATTTATCTATTTGACAGAACCTCACCTGAAAACTGACCAGACTGTCCTTTAAACTTAACAGTCTGTCAGAGGACAGTGGGTGTCAGCAGCAGCTATGCAAACATTTCTTGAAAAACTTCCTAAACTCTGTGTTGAAGATGGTGTAGATGATGGGATTGAGGGCACTATTGACGTAACCCAGCCAGGTGACGATGCTGATCAGAGCGGGAGGGATGTTGCAGGTCAAACACAAGGCTCGCATTGTGTGGACCACAAAGAATGGAGTCCAGCAGAACAGGAAGCAGCCTGTGTGAAAAATAATGAGTAAAAAAGATATTTCAATAAATAACTATAATAAAAGCAGCAGTAAAAAACTGTCATTTAAATCCACCAATAAAACAAGACTATCTTTTTGTAACAGTCTCTAAATCAGTTTAGTTAAAACCCTGTCTTTCTGTAACCCCTCCATATTTTAATGTTTTTTATCTCAGTAGCATTGTTAGGAAAATAATACATTAATGAAATCCTGCAGCAGCTTCGCAGTGAGTCAGCCAGAGGAGAACCTGCAGGGATTTCTAGGACTACACAAGAAGGCTCAATAATCAGCATATATGACATGTTGCCTTTTATTTTCATCAAATATTTTAATAATCTAAAATTCATATTTTAGATTTTATTTATTTTCTCCACTTTTTATATGAATGAATGAATGAATGATTTATTTCTTCGGGACAGTGTGCAATTAAAACATAATTTGATGCATTGCACCAGATTTAGCCTAATTTATATCTGTAGTCCCATCAAACAGTAAAAACAAAACAACATCCAACAATAAAATAGAAATAAGAGAGGAAACAGAAAAATAAAAATAATAAAACATTTTGCAATTAAAAAATACATATAACACCCCACTATATTCTCTTATTTTCAGTAAACCACTTTGTAATTCAGCAAGAAAAAGTTTCCAATTAAACAAAATATTTATACAATCAGATTTTTTTCCATTTGCTTTTTTAGGCCATGGGTGTACTCTGCAGGAGGGTTAGGGGGTTATGACCCCCACAATAATTTGATTCAGTTCATACCCCCCATCCCAAATAAGATGACATAATTTGCTCTAACACAATAGAAAATTAACTGGTTAAGTACACAGCTGCAACWCTTATTTTCTCCAGGTAATTCTGACCTGATTTCAGAATTCATGATGCCATAATGTACGTTGTAGCATAGCAGCTGAAAATAACACGCTGGGTTTTAGTCTTGTCACATTATGGCTGTTTTTGTTGAATTGTGTTTTAATTTGTCCTGGCCAAACTGTAGTGCACCAGGAAAATACATACTCTTGGAAAATACAGAAATTTAGGTTGTAATATATATATCTTTAAAAATGTAAAATATTTGTTATTGTGGGACAAATGGGGGGGAAGTTAAACCTTTTCTTAATTGTTGAACTGATGTGGAACAGAAAAGGTGCAGAGTAAATACAAAGAAAACAGGAAAGTGAAGTAAATTACAGCAAAAGCATTACAATATATTTTAACCCCAGAATATCCTGAATAATTTTACAAAACTAAATGATTCAATGATAAATAGACAGAGAGCGTAGCCCCCCAATGGTAGACCTAAAATTACACCCTAGCTACTGGCAGAAATGTTTGCAGCTTTCTCTTTGGTTAGAACTTTACTATCAGGGCAGAAGGCTTAGCTGACGTCAGACATCTACAGGATTAGTTTGATGACTGACCTGTTTCACAGCTTCCAGAGGGACACTATAAACTTTGTAARCACAAAGTGCACACCTTCACTGCAAATGTTCTGACCAAAAACAACAACAAAAAAAAAACAACAACAACTTTATTTTCAAAGTGTTCAAGAGATAAAACACTTTTCAGAATCTGCTCACAGCTATGAACATGAAATTAAGATTCAGAAAACAGAGATGGTTTAAAACCATTGTCATACTGAGTGATATAATSCATAAGAATTTAAACAAGCAGCAGTGGGTAATTATACTGCGGGTCTGATTTCAAAAGGGATCTAATAAAATTCTTTAAAGAAACCATTAAATCAAACTTAAAACTTTAAGTGTGTTTTGTGTATTACCTGTACAGCCCAGCAGCACATTTAGCTGTTGTTGGTTTCTGAAACCTTTATTAGATTTCTGAGATTATAAAGGGGGATTTTAGCACTTTTTATGCATCTGGACTACACTGGAATTGGTCCAGTTGCAAAACTACAACACCTACACTCTTCAAATCTGGACTGGATTATTTTTCACTAATAGCAGGATATTTAAATTTGAGAAAACGTTATAAATCTTAATGTTTTAGAATAAATGTGTACCATTCTGACACCCTGCTGGTTTGAATGAGCTACCTGTACGTGTCATAAATCAGGTCACATCTCCTACAGGACATAGACGTACTGTATGTAGCCTAGTATGGCAGATATACACTGAACAAAAATATAAACAACACTTTTGTTTTTGCTCCCATTTTTCATGAGTTGAACTGAAAGATCTATGACTTTTTCTATGAACACACAACAGACCTTTCCTCAAATATTGTTCAGAAATGTGTATAAATCTGTGTTAGGGGGCACTTCTCCTTTGCAGAAATAATCCACCCCACCTCTAAGGTGTGTCATATCAAGTTACTGATTTTTTTTAAATTTCCCATTATTTAACCAGGCAAATCACATTGAGATCTCAGATCTCTTTTTCAAGGGCGGCCTGGGCCTGAAGGAAACCTACTGTACATGTTTTTGTGCTGTAGGAGTACCCGGAGAAAAACCCACGCAAGCACAAGGAGAACATGCAAACTCCACACAGAAAAACCCCAGGTCTGAACCGGGAATCGAACCCAGGACCTTCTTGCTGTGGGGCGTCGGTGCTAACCACTGAGCCGCCGTGCTGATTATTAGCATGATTATTGCAGAGGTGTRTCTTAGGCTGGCCACATTAAAAGCCACACTGTGCTGTTTTATCACACAGCACAAAGACAGAAATGTCGCAGGTTTTGAGGGGAGCGTGTAATTATGCTGACTGCAGGGATGTCGACCAGAGCTGTTCCCCACGAATCRAATGTTCATTCTTCCACCATAAGTCATCTCCAAAGTTGTTTCAGAGAATTTGGCAGTACATCCAACAGGCCTCAAAATCACAGACCACAAGTAACCACATCAGACCAGGACCTCCACATCCAACATGTCCACTCTGTGTGCCTGTACGTCCTAATATCAGCCCAGAGCTGTCTGCACAGGTCACCAGTGAGCATAATTTTCACATCATCACCTGTTAGTTTAATTCAAATGTTGTTAGAAAAAAAAACTCCCAATAGTTTTAATTTTTCAAAATTAAAAATCTTAAAATACTTTGTTCCAAATTATTACAACAGTTTCAAAAATCATTGTAAAGAACTGAAAATGGCCATTTGTTGAATTTGCAGAAGGACATCATATTTACTGAAATCAAAAGCTAATTCARTCACAGTGCAGACACACGAGGACCCAGAAGGATACATTAAAAATTCTTCAAACAAAATGCTGATGGGGCAGCAAAACTTAYAAAAACACAGGAGAAGCACAGAGGAACATGTAGGAGATCGAGGCATGGGGGATGATCCAAAACATAAAGAAATAAACTGCTGAGGTGGATTTGGAAGGAGACTGACTGATTTGTTGCAACAGATCTTTTTTTAAACAGATACTCACCTACAACAACAGGCAGGACCCTCATAGCTTTCCTCTCCCTGTTGTTAAGTTTGGCCCTCTTCTTGAGCTGTTGCTGTTGGCTGAATGTCACTGTGGGCACAGAGTTTTCTCTGTACTGCCGAGGATAAGGAATCTCTTTCTGTATGTAATCGCCTGAATCATCCATCCGACTCTGGGCCAGGTCCCGCTCAATGATTCTGGGCAGGGGCATCGGCAGAGGCCCGGGAATGGTGCCTGTCAGCGTGGGAAGGGAGGCGGCCGTGGTGGCGTGCTGCAGCTTCCGGCACTCCTCAATGCTGCTGCGCAGTTTGGCCTTACGGGTYTCCTCCCACCGCTGCAGCCCTCGAAAGACACCAAAGTAGAGCAGGACCATTATGGGACAGGGAATGAAGAAGGAGCAGACCGATGAATAAATCACATAATTGTTGTCCTCCAGTTTACACTCGCTGGGGTTACGGTCAGGCACATTGTTGATGCCGAAGATGACCGGTGAGGCAACGGCGGAGGCCAGCAGCCAGGTAGCAGACAGAAGAAGGGTTTGACGGTAGTCCACWTGTTTACGGTTGTAGTTCAGCGGGATGGACACAGCAATACATCTGAAAAACAAAATTTTTCATTCTAGTATGGGAGTAACGTGCAGTAAAGTTGCTCTCTATAATATACAGCTCTAGTCCAAGTGGGACATTCCCAGAAAAACTCCAAAAAAGAGGCATCTAGGATGCATACTAGTCGAAACACATTAGATGAATTCTTTTAATATGGAGGAGCAGCTCTAATCCATGATCAGAGAGATCCTCAACTTCTAAGACTGAGCCTGACTGTGGTAAAGGTTGTAATAAAAATAGGAAAAAAAAACGTTAAAGTCACAAACTTTATTACAGTAACTGTAAAGACCCCAATACAAAACAGTTTAGTCCCATTCTTCTACTGCATTCTTCCTTAACACAGTGTCTTCTTGCACTGCACTGCAAGGAGGTTCTGTAGAACAGCTGGAGTCCTCAGAAACCAGGTGAGCCTGTGATCGGCTGGTGAAGCTAACGGCTAACGCAAAACGGTCAAGAGTCTGGATTTCCC